TTTGAGTGCCATTACCATAGGGTCCCGGAGACACAAGGAGTTCTTTGGCTAAAGAGCCCTGGAACAAGAAGCTGCTCAAGCATCAGTCCCCAGGCAAAGGGTCTTATCTTGGAGCACCAGTCAGAGAAACACAAGTGGTTTCTGACTGTCTATAACCTCAGCCTTCTAGTTGCTCCAAGCCTTTATGGGCACCTCCTGAGTTTCTAAAGAGCTGTGTGTAAGAGGTCAAATGCCCCCAAGGTTAGAGAGTTTATGTGCAAATTCCTGAGAAGTGGGGGAAAGGGGCTAGGAAAGAGGTAGGGAAAAGAAGGCAGGTTCCCAGAGGGAGAAAAAAATCAAAACCATGGTGTAACTAGCCTGTGGCAACCAGTAAAAATACTGAACTGGGGGCTCAAAAAGCTGCCAATCTCTGCTCCTGGGCAGCTGGAAAAAAGAAACGTATCCCTAATAGAATGTCACCAGTGAGGGAGGAAGGGAAAACACATAGCTTCCAATACCCACAGCACTCAAGAGCCGGCAGAGCCTCAAGGGGAACCTCACCATTGTCACCTGGGGGCCATCTACCAATCAGGCAACAAATATTGATTATGTACTGTGAGCTTGAGTACGTATTGAGTATGTGCTGCGAACTTGGCACTGTGAGAGGGCACTGTTGGGGGCTGTGGGACCGGAGGACATTGTCTGTGACCTTGGCACTTACACTTGATAAGACAAATTACATGAAACCATAAACAACACAATATAGATTTGGGTAAAATTGTGTGTAACAGATTTAAAATACTGTACAAGAAATTTGGCTGCCGAAGTCAAGCAACCACTTTTATAAAAGAGGCGGAACTTAAGCTTGGCCAACCAGTAGAATTTAGAGACGGGAGATCTTTCCTAGGAAAAGGAGGGAGGGGAGATTGCACCTTGTGTATCTGAGGCACAGTGAGAAGCCTGGACTGAATGTATTTGAGGGTGTGTGTCATGGATTGGAAGAAATAAGGCTGGGATTTAGAAAAAAAGGAATCTTGAAATCCTGTAGAGCGCTGGATGGCCCAAATGCTCTGTGGGGAATGGGGCACCAGCTGTGCTGAGATTCCAGCCCTTCAGCCTATTCAGAGAACTGGCTCAGGGCAGGGTGAGTCAGTCCTGGGCTGGTGTTACACCACTGTCCTGCACACTCCACCCAAACCTGCACTCAAGGAAAGGGGTGGAATGTTCTTTCCCACCTGAACCTAGTTCTTGCTGGGCCAGGAGTACACCTCCCTGGCACCCACCAGAACCAGACACCCTCCCTCCCCCAAGACTCAGGAGGAGCACAGTGCTGGGAGCTTTTCCAGGGTGGGCACCGTGCCCTCTGCAGTAGGTTGTTATCACATTGTCTCCCTGGCCCCTGTGCAGAGGAGTCTGGAGCAGAGGCTGAACAGCTTGTCTTGGGGTAGGAACTGCGTGTGGTCTCCTCTCCCCCACACCCACGCCCATCCCCACCCCCAGCCCTGCCAGTTTCCTCCCTGGGGAAGGAGCCAACGAAATGTGACTTTCTTTGAGTCTCCAGGAACACCCCTGCTGTGTCCCAGCATCCTTTTAGACTAGACTGCTGGCCTTTGACCTCCCCTACACACACCTCATGCCCCTTTCCTGCTGCCTCTGCCCCCTCCAGAACTCGATCCGCCACAACCTGTCCCTGCACAGCAAGTTCATCAAGGTTCACAACGAGGCCACCGGCAAGAGTTCTTGGTGGATGCTGAACCCCGAAGGAGGCAAGAGCGGCAAGGCGCCCCGCCGCCGTGCCGCCTCCATGGATAGCAGCAGCAAGCTGCTCCGGGGCCGCAGCAAGGCCCCCAAGAAGAAGCCACCTGTGCTGCCAGCCCCATCCAAAGGTGCCACTCCGACGAGCCCTGTTGGCCACTTTGCCAAGTGGTCAGGCAGCCCTTGTTCTCGAAACCGTGAGGAAGCTGATGTGTGGACCACCTTCCGTCCACGAAGCAGTTCAAATGCTAGCACTGTCAGCACCCGACTGTCCCCTCTGAGGCCAGAGTCTGAGGTGCTGGCAGAGGAGGAAATACCAGCCTCAGTCAGCAGCTATGCAGGGGGTATCCCTCCCACCCTAAACGAGGATCTAGAGCTGTTAGATGGGCTCAATCTCACATCTTCCCATTCCCTGTTATCTCGGAGTAGTCTCTCTGGCTTCTCTTTGCAGCATCCTGGGGTTCCCGGTGCTATACACACGTACAGCACCTCCCTCTTCAGCCCAGCAGAGGGGCCCCTGTCGTCAGGAGAAGGGTGCTTCTCAAGCTCCCAGTCTCTGGAGGCCCTGCTTACCTCTGATACGCCACCACCCCCTACTGATGTCCTCATGACCCAGGTAGACCCCATTCTGTCCCAGGCTCCAACACTTCTGTTGCTGGGAGGGATCCCTTCCTCCAGTAAGCTGGCCACAGGAGTTGGCCTATGTCCCAAGGCCCTAGAGGCTCCAGGCCCCAGCGGTCTGGTTCCCACCCTTTCTATGATCGCACCTCCTCCAGTCATGGCGGGTGCTGCCATCCCCAAGACCCTGGGGACTCCAGTGCTCACACCCCCTGCTGAAGCCACAAGCCAAGACAGAATGCCTCAGGATCTAGATCTTGATATGTATATGGAGAACCTGGAGTGTGACATGGATAACATCATCAGTGACCTCATGGATGGGGGCGAGGGACTGGACTTCAACTTTGAGCCAGGTACAGCACCCCCTAATTGTCATAGCTCCCACAGCCTATGCCCACCCCTAGGTGCCTAGCTAGTCTCATGATCCGAGCAAGGGGGAGCTTTAGAACAAGGGACAGTCAGAGCTCCTGGGGAACTGGAGGAAGGATGTCAGATTAGAGTGGCACAGTTTCCAGATGGGACCTCCAGGCCCCTCAGTAGTGCCCACCCCTGCAAGGTAGCACAGAAGAGATGTGTGTGTGTGTGTGTGTGTGTGTGTGTGTGTGTGTGTGTGTGTTGCAGGGGGAGGTGTCTCTGTTTTCCTTGGTGTGAATCTGAATGGTGGAAAGTTGGCATGCCCCAGATAAGCTTCTTACCTTGTCCTCTATTTCTTCTTCCCACAGATCCCTGAGTCATGGCTGGAAGCTTTGTCCCCTGCTTCAGACGTGGAGCCAGGCGTGTCCATATCCACTCTTTATCCTTGAGCCCTCCCCAGGAAATTGGGACCCTGCTTTAGAGCTAGGGTGGGGTCTGGTCACACACAGTGTTGAGGAAATTATAAAGACAAAGCTGCCCCACATGGGGACTCTGGGGGAGGGATATGGGAGGGGGAAAGGGAGAGGGTTTATTCTCACTGTGCCAATTAGGGGTAAGGTCCCCTCTCAGGAGCCATCCTCGGCTTCCCCCATTCCCACCCCCTAGGCTTTGTAGCAGGGGCGGGCAATGCTGTTGGAAATGTGAAGTCACCAGTGGCCTTACCCCTGCCTTTGGGAGCAGGATTTTTTGTAGAGAGTCTTATCTGAGCTGGGCCAGGCTAGGTCGAGCCTGGGGTTTTTATGCAGTGGCCCCTTAGGCCAGTGGGGCGGGGTGGGTGGGGGGTATAGGGGACCTGGAAGGGCCAAGGTCTGAGCACTGGAGTGGCTCGCCAGGCCGAATCACCCTTGAAAGGCTGCAGATAACAGAAAGGCTTTTTATAAACTTTTAAAGAAATATAAACACAAATATAGAGATTTTTAACAGTGGCAAGGTGCTAGTGATGGGGAGAATGCTTTTTTTCTTTCTCAAGGCTTTGTCATAGTGACATGATACAAACACTACAGATACCAGGAGAGACACAGGGAAGTAGGGGAGAGGTGGGGAGTAACAGTGAACAAGGGGAAGAGCCCCATTTGGACCAGGTCTAGAAAAAGGTCTATGCATAATAGGCTGGAGTTTCCCTAAGGAAAAAGCTAAGCCAGATCCCCGCATTCTGCCAACTTGTGCCTGGGAGTGTGTGGTGTTGGTGCAGCCACACTCTTCTATGACCCAATGTGAGTTAGTGCTAGGGTGGGAGAGCGCACTGAAGGCCTGGAATTAGCCTGGGGCCTGGGAAGGGGGTGGGACAGTAGAGAAGAGGAGGGAAGGATTTAGGGTAGTAAAGTTAGGTACAGAGACCTCCCTGGTCAAGGCCCCTGACAGCTGTCCCTGCCCTTCTTCCCCTTCCCTGACTACAGGGGTTATGTGGAAGTGTGTGTGGTGGCAGGCAGGGGGGAGGGGAGGAACAGGGAAGGGGGAGCTGGGGAGCTTGGCTGAGGGTCTGGGAAATGAGCAGGGATGGGGGGAATGTGGATCAGGTTTACTAGCACCTGCCAGGGAGGCCATCTGGGGCTCCTTCTCCACCCCAGCCCCCAAGCAGCCCCTCCCCCAGTGCCCTTTTCATTGTCCCCTCCTCCGCCCCTGCTGTGGGTTCCCATCATTTCCTGTGTCAGCGCCTGGCCTACCCAGATTGTATCATGTGCTAGATTGGAGTGGGGAAGTGTGTCAAATCAATAAATGAATAAATTCAATAAATGCCTATAACCAGCTCTTGTTTCTGCTGCCTTGCTGCTCCCCTTGGATAAGGGGTGGGTGGGGGAAAGGCAACAGGCAGGCGAGCAGGCGGGGCGGAGGAACTGCCCAGAGGCAGGGGGGTGGGGGTGGGGGAATTTCGGCCCAGGGAGGTGGTGGAGTGTGGTGGGGGAGGGACATCTAACCCCAGCAGGAGTAGGCGGGCTGCGAGATAGGCCTCCCAAGGGGAGGTAGTCTGGCTTGAGAAGACCCCACCCCCTACTCAGTCCCTCAAAGGCTCATTGTACTAAACTTCACAGTCTTTCCTCACCCCCACCCATGTGCTCGCCCCAGCCCTCTCCTGCTGCTCCCATCCACCCTTGGAGCCTGCACCGTGCCTGGGGCGTACTTAAGCCTTAGTGCAGATATTGGGAGAAGGAGTCTTTCTACAAAAAGAAATCTCACATTAAATTCCAGTAATTTCATACCTAGTATTACTGCTCTCACTTGGTCACTTTATTGGGTTAACGACGTCTATTCCTCTTTTTGAGAACCTCTGCTCTGGTCTTAAAGACCATAGTCTTTGAAGGGGGCCTGTCTCCATCTGATCGACCCGATGATTTGGACTAGAAAGAGAAATTAAGTAGATAAACAAAGAGGCCCCTGCAGGGAAGCTAGGGCTAAAGGAAGGACAAAAAGAGGTTGGAGGCAGGTCTTGGGCATAGACGTTGGATTCCGAAAGGAAATGTATCCCAGAGGGCCAGGGTAGAGGAGCATTCAGTTGGCTGGTGGGGAGAGGGCGGTGCTGGGGCAGACCATATTCAGGGAGTCTTACTGGAACGTTCAGGGAGGACTGAATTGGAATGACCTTCTTGGCTTCTTGGATTCTAAGCATCTTCAATTGGCTCCTCTCCAGGATGTCACATTGTGTGTGCAGTGATTCTAGGAACAGGGAAAGGGCACCTGCACCTCTGAGGCCTAGAAATCTTACCCATCCGGGCCCTCCCATCATTCAAACAATCAACTGGAGCAACCTGGCCTAAGATAGAAAGGATGGGGTGGTGGTAGGAAGATATACCTAGAAGATAGTCAAGAAATGGGGGGAGGAGGAAGTAACACATATACACCCTGGTTTGAGCTAAACATCCCTCCTAAAGTGGACCTGGACCCCATTCCCCCTCTCCTAGGCTCCTATCACCCTACCTGCCATATAGGGGATCCTAGTCTCACCCTATATTCTCCATCACACAGCTATGTACAGTACCCTTCATGTTCTTCCCTCCCCCATCACACTCCTTACCGATTAGCTTGGGCTCTGGATTCTTCAGGAGGGGCACAAAAGCTCTATAGGCATTCTGAAGTCTGGGTCCTGTGAACATAGCAGAGTGCTATCCCCAACTCCTGTCACCCAGTCTCCACCCTTCCAAAGCCCAAGATTTCAGGACCCTAACACTAAACACTACCTTGAACTGGTTGTACCTTATTTCCTCCTAAGGGAGAGTTATGGTATGGACCCCAGGATGAGGTGGGGGGAACATGGTATGTGTGAACCTAACCTATTGTTATGGAGGCAGTGCCCTTTCTTAGGCTGACTAGAGATGATCACTTTGGATCTGGTTGAGGGTGCCCTATTTTAAAGACAAAGTTTACAATCCGTCTTGAGGGCCTCGTTCTATCTCTGGGGAACAATCCCAAGCCTCTACCTGTTTCCCCACGCTCCACCTTACAAACGTAGTAGGTGCTTCGAGCTGTAAGGAATTTGCTGGCATAGTCTCCAGGGGTCTTCATCAGGAAAAGCAACTTAATTGTCCCCATTTCATCACACAAATCGATGGTGTCTGGAGGAAGGCCACAGGGTAATTGGGGCAGTTAAGGAAAGAGAGTGGGAGCAAAAGGGGCCAGCAATCCTATACAGAATGAACTGGAGGAAGCTGTAAGGATACAAGGGACTCCTTTCCTGCCACAGGGAGGGTTTCGGGGCTTAAGATGACCCTACTACTTCTGACCCTTAGCCATTAGTCACCTCCCCAAACTCCTCACCTCTTTTAGTCAACCCCACTTTACTTCGGACGTAATGTAGCAACAGGCGGACAGAGCAATTGGTATTGACCAGAAACTGCTGATTATCTGAGAAGAAATGGGATGGGGCATGTGGGCCCTTCTCTCGTTATACCATTTCTGTGATCTCCACTGCCCTCAAACCTCTCCATCCCCATAAACAGACTCCAGGTCTGCGCTGCCCCTCACCTCCATGGTTGATGAAAATGAACATGCTCTCAAGATCCTCTCACTCCTCAGAGAGTGCCCTGATGAGTCATGGAGAAGGAGAGTGTTTGAGAGGCCTTAGGGAACCAAGTAGGCCCATAAGGTTGGGGGACTGGGGAGGCAGATGGCCCTCATAGGCTGAGGAGGCCCACACTGGGCAGATGGAGAGAGCTACTGGCAGTTGTGGATAAGCAGCATCCCTAGGGGTGGGGCCTGAGGCTGCAGTTGAGGGATTATGAGGTCAGAAGTGGCATATGAGGCAGCAAGTGGAGCAAGGATAAGGAGAGAAGAACTTGGGTGGGATCTGTAAAAGACTAGTTGGAAATGGGGGCAACATGGTAAATCTAACCCTAAACTGGACCCTGGAATGAGTGCAGGACACCTGGAGAGAAGTAAGTTTCTAGAACAGTACTCTTTTTTCAGTTAATTTGTGGTAGTACCACTTCCATAGCATGTCTACTACCCCTTTTTCCTACTCTCAGTATCACGCCTCCCACCCTCATTGCACCCCACGTTTCCCCTGCTCCCTGCCCCATAACAGACAGTCTGGATGATTATCAACAGAAACTTTATTTCTCATTGATTCGGGAACAATTGAAGGGTAGATGGAAAGAGGGATGGAGGGAGAAAGAATCCTACCGAAAGGAAGGGCTAGGCTGGAGAAGATGAGAAACAGGTACAGGGCAAAGGGGAAAATCTCAAGTAGGGGATACTGAATGAAGGGGTAGTTACATGGGGGAACAAAATTTCAAATCAGCCACAGAGGGGACGGACCCAGGCTGGTTGGATGAAGAGAAGTTAGTACCACTGGGGTTATGGGACCCTGGGGTTCTTTCAGCGTCGGGGCTCAGGTTTCAGGCTTCAGGGTGTAACACGGGGGAGCCCAGTAGGGGCTATGCTGGTTGCTGGGGGAGTCCCCGGGCCCCTCCCCGAGGGCCCTTCCTTTTGAGGGAATCTCACTGACGAAGCAGAGTCGCTCGCTGTAGTCTGGCTGCAGACTCTCTGCCAATCCCTTAGACACACCACTCCAGGCCTAAAGACAGATATGTCCAGGTCAGGGGTCAATTAGAGGCAGGAAGTAAAAGACCCAGGCTCTGTGCCAAAGGAGCTCTCACAATGTCTGCAACCACTGTGATTACGGAAGGGACACACAGACTCTTGGGCCCCCAATACCACTGTTTCCACCCACTTCATGCAATCTATAATCCGTTCTTCAGTGTCTCTCTCTGTCTAGCCCATCCCCCATTTGGTCAGCCACATCCTGAAAGTTTGTGCAGGCCCCCCTCCCCCTCCCCTCTACCTCCACCCTGCCCCCGTCTGTCTTGCTAGCAGGCAGTTGGCAGTTGACAGACTGCAGCATGCTTATGACAGCGTTCTCACCGAAAAGTTCCCGTGGTATTCAGTAACAAGATCCTCCAGGTTCTTGAGGGTGGGAATTCGGGGCATTTTCCTGATAGGGGAGAAAGAGCGAGCAGGGGAGCACACAGGTTAAAGTGGTTTTTTTGTTTTGTTTTGTTTTTTGTTTTTTATTTTGAGACAGAGTCTGGCTCTGTCCCCTGGGCTAGAGTGCCGTGGCGTCAGCCTAGCTCACAGCAACCTCCAACTCCTGGGCTCAAGCCATCCTCCTGCCTCAGCCTCCCAAGTAGCTGGGACTACAGGCTAATTTCTCTATTTTCTGTAGAGACGGAGTCTCGCTCTTGCTCAGGCTTAAAGTTCTTTTATTACCCTTCTTCCAGTTGTCCCATATGGAATGATGTGATTCCTTGTTCTCTGTGCCTGTGGCTTCCTTCCATCATCATGCCCTCTTGGGTGATCCCTCATTCCTTACTGTCCCACCCTCTACTCCTGGAGACCCTGCAATACCCTCCTCTAACTATTCCCAGCCACCCCCACTTCATTTTTTTAGGCTTTCCAAAATCTCACCGTTCCAGCCACCAATACACAAAGATGAGGACAGTAATCAATCCCATGGAGCAGAGGGGGAAAAGCACAGCTTCCAATGCAAACAACGAAGGATTATCCCCACTTGACCTTGGCCAAAAGGCCAAGAAGTGATACGATGAAGGATTCTCTATAGGAAAATAGAAAAGGAGCGTGGACCTTACATTTGTGGTGCCCCTATTATGTGCCAACATTTGTGGAGCCCCAACTTGGTGCCAGGCACTGTGCTAAACACATTTCCTATACTTAATCCTCACAACAGCTCCTGAGAGGGAGGAACAATTATTATCTCCGTTTTACAGGTGAGGAAACAGACTTGAAGAGGTTTAGTGATGTGCCCAAGGCCAAAGAGGTAGTATGTGGCAGATCCTAGATCTGTCTAGTTTCAAAGCCATCTTCACCATGCAGACTCTCTGGGAATGCTGTAGGGAAATCCTATATATTCTATATCCCCCTCAGCCTCTTTCTCAATCCACTCCCCTACTCTAACACAACAACCCAATCCTACCCAGAAAAACCCTGCTTTCTAGGGGTTGGGGGTGAACAGTGAGGGGAAATAGGGCACCAAGTTTGGGGGCTCAGTGATAGGGAGGTACAGCAAAAGACAGTGGTGTTAGAAAGGTTGGAGTCTTGGACCCATGGATTGGGGTCATATATTAGACCCATTTTACCCTTTGAAGTATTGCTCCCCCAGTGGACTGGATGGCTCCATTCACTCCAATGCTGAGCGCTTCCGCAGAGTGGGTTAAAGCGGCTTCGAACACGGAATGTGTAGAATTTCTGCCCATCCACACTAGGCAGGGAGAAGCTATGTCTGTGATCCACTGACTGTTCCTTGGGGAGAAAGAGGGTGAGGGAAAGGTCGGTGTCTATCAAATAAGGGAGAATTAAAATGTGCTCCTGCACCCCACCCCACCCCACCCCCATGTCATCTCTGGTTCTTTCCAGTTCCTCCCTCCTCTCTTGACTACTCAAGCCACACTGCTGCCTTCACTGACTTGAATCTAATGCCTCCTCTCTGGATCCCTTTAATGGCTTCCTTTTGTTTACTTGTTTATCTGGCGTCAGGAAGAGTGCCGGTAGGCAATCCTCAATGATAACTCACTGGTGATGATAGGGAAAGGAGTTGGAGGAGTGTGGGGGGTGAGCAGAGGAGCTGGGAGGCAGAGAGCAGGAGCTTGGTATTAGGTCCCCCTATCTGGCTAATTGAATCCTTTATCCCCACTTGCTTGGCCTCGGCTGCTACATTTACATCCCCAGTCACTCACAGTCCAGCTGCGGTCCCGGTCACTCCGGTACTGCACCAGGTGCTCCAAGCAATGGTCCAAGTATGTGTTGTCCCAGTTCAGTTCTAGCTGGGATTCACTCAGGTTGCGAAGTGTTAGATTCCTCGGAGCCCAGGGGATCACTGGAGATATGTGTGCGTGTGTGGTCATTCCCCCGGCCTAGACAAGTCAGGATCCTGAAGGTAGTGCTCTTTACCCCTCCTCCCTTCCCATCCTGATCCCCTACCTCCTCTTTTATGCACATGTACCCTTATGATGAGAGAACACCACCCCCTAGACTCCAGGGTCCCACAATATCCCTAGGCTTTTGACCTCTTCTTTCCAAATTACCCAGATTCTGCAGTTTTAGTATCTGTATGGCCTGCCTCATGGCTTCCCGTGGGTCCTGGAGCTGGACCACAAATGTTTGGTAGAGATGGATCTCCTTTTTTTCCAAACGACAGCCAGAAGTAATCTCTTCAGAGAATAGATAGTGGCCACACTCCTGGACTTTGTCATTATCCGAATTCTTGTACCTGGAGAAGGGTTGGAAGGAAGAGGAACAATGGGCCAATTTGGGTACTGCAGATATCCGCAGCCCAGCCGCCCTGCCTCTGAACTGACTTATGCCTTACCCCATGAGAAAAGACTGGGGCACCTGCGAGGCTGGCTACCCTCTTTCTTGTCTCGGATCCAGCCTACCTCTTCTTCCTCCCCTCTACTACCCCCTCTTCCCTTCTCATACCAATAACGAAGAGTCAGGTTGGTAGGCTGGGGCTCAGAGCTGATGTTCCAAGTGCAATTCATGTACTCAACATTGAACACAAAGCACTGAACCTTTGGGAGGGGCAGAGAGGAAACATTGAGGGACCTAGGGGGCATAGAGGTCAGGAAGAAATCTAGGTTGGGGAGAAAATGAAGTGGGGGAGGAAAAAAGAAGAAACAATGGTCAGAAGGAGTAGCATGAGACAGGGAACCTTTCCCCTTGCCCTTCCCACTCTACTCTTAATTCTGCCCGCATGATTGCAGTGGCCAGTGGCAGATTGCAGATTTCTGTTCAGCCTCTTCCCACAACCTCCCTTCTCACCAACCCCCTCCAGTCCCAGATTTCCCACCAGCTGTGGTGTCTTCATTCCCATTGAGCGTGAGGACCGTTGTGTTCAGCCCCACCCCCAGCAGAGGCAGCTGCAGGAATAAGAGGGATCTGAGTAGTGATGATGGCCTCAACATGGCGCTTGCTCTTCGTTCCCTAGGTGTAGTCTGTGTCAGGAACCTGGGCCCCTCACCCACTACCCCTCCCCACCCACACATTTCCTTCTGTCATAGCTTCCGGTGGAAAGAACCTTAGAAACCAGGGCTTTACAGAGGGCGTGGCAAACGGGTAGTGTGAACATAGGCTAAGTCTCTAGGAGATTAGGTGCTGCCATAGGGTGGTGTTAAGTAGAGACTAAGGCTGTGTCCAGTAGTGTCACAGACTTAATAATCCTCAGACCACCTAGATCCTGGGAAAGATCTGTTCACCGCCACTCCCACCGTTCCCAACCACATTCTCCTCTAAATCATTATATCATATAGTGGAGGGTCTGAACCTCTATCATCCCCATCCTATGCTATGCTCCTTCCTTGGCTGAGTGACCCTTAAAATCTCTGTTAAAGCCGTTCTGTCTTGGGAGGACAGAAAATAGTCTTGGTTCTTGTGGGCACATGTATATATAGCTGTCTTTCCTCTGACCTAATCTGAACCAGAATACCCACCCATGGCTGCTGTCTGAGCTGGATCCCTGTTGAGACTAGTGAGGAG